GATCGTGTTGTTTTTATACCTAGAATACATCTTTAGATTCTCAAACACTTAATTGCGAATGCTGACTAACATAATTTAATTAGCCATTGTATAGCCGGAGAAGTTATTTCCATGATGACAGTACTAAATGGGAGATCCTTACTATTTATATGACCAAACAGAGTTCACCAACTCATCCAACTTTTCTTATTTTTATAGATTTTTTTTTTCTTTCTTGCTGCTGCATTATCTTCTTCTTCTTCTCCGTCATAATCTCACTTCTATATTTGCAAACCCTAGAATCAAAACAATTTAGAACAAAAAACCATACGACTTTTCATTGATATTCACCATAATCAATGAAGAGGGGGAAATGGGAACCTTCTTTTGCTCCAAACCATGTAAAATATATTAATATAGTCGCAATCAATAAGGCAAAGACCTGATTCTCGCATCAAACCTCCTCTTCTTCTACCTTAAAGTCATTCTTAACAGTGAAAGGTCTTGTAAATCTTCTTCTGGCATGAAGTCACTTTCTCGTTGATTTTTCTCTGTCCCCAAATGCCATTTACGACGACTGATTAACTCACTGAGGATAGATTTAAAGAGGAGTCTCGGGTAACAAGTGGCGGTATCATAAAGCAATACAGAAAATACCTATTTATTTTTCTTCTCTTCTGTACAATTTTAACGCTACAGTTGTATAAATTCATGCTTACTTGCTGGTGGTATGAATAAGAACTAGTTTTTTTTCTCTTTTGAAAAGATTGAAGAAGAGTTGTTTGGTTTCCTAAAATTGTTAGATTTTTTGGGATTACTAAATATATAGATTATTTTGTATACAAGATAGATTTATGAACGTGGTACTACTTGCTAGTACTAAAAAAAATGGAGAAGTTAAAGAGTTATTGCATTTCATTAAGTTGGTGGTAGTTTAAATCTCTCTCATACATATGCGGAGTGTTTGCATCTTGCCTCGAGACTTTCTTGTCACCAACGTTATTGGAGAATCATCAAGATAGGCAGCCCCAAACAAAATGAATTAAGCACGAAAATTTTGAAGGAAAAAGACAATAACATGCTAGTTACTAAAGGAGGGAGAGCAAACACTTTATAATAATAGCTGAAAATTATAACATACCAGACTACTAACATGAAAGACATGATATATTTATCTTCTTTACTCTTTATTCTTAGTTGAAGAGAATAATCCAGTAGGAATATTCTAAGGTGGTTATAATTTTTCACTTGAATTCATAAACAGAAACTCGCAATAAGCCGACATTGAACTAGACATTTGCGACGTTATTAAGGAAGTCAGTAAACCACAAGGCTGATGCTTTAGGTTGTCTATATGATGGGTCACTGTAATTCACATAATTTAAACCAAATCGTATTGTGAATCCCTGAACAAATTCATAGTTGTCTAATAACGACCACGCAAAATATCCTTGAACATTGTCTTGAAATTTTACAGAAAGCTACACTTATGATTGCGAAACATAAATGATATTCCCTCGCTTGTCATTTGTAATAATTCACCTCATGAATGGCTATACAATCACTTGTTGTCCTATAGTGATTCCTTTGTTATTATTCAGTCTTTTAAAGTATTTGATAGTGCCCACTTTGTCATTCTCTAACTCCATGATCATACCGAATCAAAGTCCAAAGCTCAATTCTTAAGGGGTTGGAGAAAAACAACTCTTTCGTGAATTAAGCCGTGTTGAATGGCTTGAAAAAAGTGTAATTCTTTACTCATTGCATTGAATCAAGCTGTAGTCATCTATCTAGCTTTTAGCTATTATGGGTTGCTGTTTGGAATTGTAAGATCAGTTATGGTTAGCTCTTAGCTTATTGTTTGCCACTGTATTCTTTTTTAGATTGCATGTTCAGCTTTTCTTTGGCACTGCTTCTTATCCTGATGTAGGCTTTGGACTTTGGTTAACTTTGGTGAAAGTTATATCTTTTCCAATTAAAAAAATTAGGTTTAGCTTACTTATCAAAGAAAAAAAAGGTGGAGATCTAATAGGTCATTTATCGAAAAGTTAGATAATTTTTTTAAAAAATAATAATAATAATAGAATAAAATTATGGTCAAACCAAAAAAAAAAAAATTCTAAATTAGATGTCATTTAATGAATTTTCTATCTAATTAAGATGTTTATTATTAATGACCTTATCATTAAAAAGAAATCAAAATTCTAAACTGCATATATATGATATCTAATTCTAGAATACTCAATATTTATTTGAAATTTTATTTTATATTAATTACGAATAGATAAGAAATAAATAACTAACGGAAAAAAAATTACAGTTTTGGTTATTTAAAAATTGGACGATCAATATACAATATGTTTATCGTGAAGGAGATTGGTGTTTATCGTGAAGGAGATTGGACTATCTGGCAAATTAGGTTTTTGACCGACCTCCTGAATTACACTACCTACAACACCCTCGTAGGAAATCCCGAACATCATTAGAGAGGATTTTATCGGGGTCTCCTGACCTACAATGTATAATATCTAGATGTTTCTTCATTTCATATTATTGTGTTTGTTGTTCCCTTTGTACTAAAAAAAAAAAGAAAAAGTAAAATCAATATAAAATATGCATGCGGAAATCAGTTAATTAACTTTATAGGTATCTCAGAGAATTAGCTTTCTTGCGATTTCAGAAAAAAAAGGCAAGACTTGTGCAATACTCAGCGGTAAGCAAGCAAGGAAATAATTAATAGCATCATGGATTCAATATTTAGATCTATTCTCGTTATATATATATATATGTTCTCTCCCCATGTTGTCCCTTAAAATAATACTGCATTGATCACAAAAACATATATGAATACTTGACGAATTATTTAGTGAAACGAGTATAGGTTATAGTATCATGTTTATTATCATTAGGTTAAATTTATAAATGTTGATCGAGTCTAATTTCTACTAATCACACTAGTTTTTTCAATAATAACAAACACCCATTATATAAAATAATTGTTTTTGTAGTTTAATTAATTTGATCTCATTACAGCCAGATCTCAGTTATTGAAGTTTGGATAATCCTGATTTAATTTGTATCTAAAGCGACATGTGTAATTGTATTAATTAGACTTAATTTTCAAACTAAACTTGGGTTAATCACAATTCTTCAGATCCTAGCAAAGTACGGCACACTTTGCTGTTTTCGCTTAGTTTAGTTAGGTTAAGTAAGTTGAGATTCAAGCTAACTAGTAATAAATGATGTTTATATTTGTAATCTTGTACGTAATATATTTATCCATTTACATATATTTAAATAGAAGTAATTAATTTTAGTAATTGCTTAATTTTGTATAATAAATTGATAGATTGTACAAATTTTATAAATTTTTGTAAAAAAGTTTACTAAAATAAAATTTTATTTATTAAATCTTCTAATTTATTTTTATTCCGAATTTATGGTTTAATGCAACAAAAAACTTGAATGAAATAAACACGTGCATCAGTTGTAGCATGCATGTGCTTGCTTACTATTGTAAAAAAATTATTTTATACGTTTTCATATTTTTAAACTCATCAACTATATTTTTTGATACATGCGTAGGGATGCGTTTATGTTGTAAAAATATATAATTAGTATAATAACGTTAAATGGATCAATTTATTAAAATTTTAATCTTGAATTTCTGAAATATGTTACATAAATTATGTTTGCTGGATATGATTAAATATGGGTTAATTAATTAATTAAAATATACAATAAATAAAAAATATCGTATAAAATGTGTAAAATAGTAATTATTAAATTGAATATATATTTCTCTGTTAAAATAAATAAAAATGTGACATCAGTTAAAATAATTTATTTTAATAATTACTAAATATGTGATAATTAAAGAAGCATAAAAATGTATGTAGTAATTATTTTAATTATGCGTTAATCATTTCAAAATTAGTACATGTAAGTAGTTTAATTAATTATATGCCAAGAATATTCTTGTAATTATTGAATTATATTAATTAAGCATATAATTAAAAACTCAAAAGCAATCAAATCAATTACCATTTAGAGTTAGTATAATCGTTATTATCTTTCAGCCAGTTAAGTATATATATATTTCAAAATTATTCTAAGCACACCCTCAGACTTTGTGAAGTAAATCTGGAGGAGAGTAGTATTTTCTTTTCCTTTTTAGAAGTAAGTTAAGTTTTAATTAAATAATTAACCAAATAAAGCTCTGATAAGACAGGCATATACATCAATACATCTACAAATATGGGTAGCGAAGAAGCCTGGAGCTATTACTGTTAAATTTATGATATACGTGGTTGTGACAACATAGAAAAATATACAAACACAAATTTCTGTAATGACAAACCATGTCAAATCATCACATTAATAAGCTTTTCACGACATATGTGTTTTTTATCATCACGTTAATTATAGATGTAAAATATAGAAAACTTATACAAACACCCATTTCTGTAATAACATACCATATCAAATCATCACATTAATTAGCTTTTCACACTAATATATGTGTTTGTGTGTGTGTGTGTGTACAGAGAAACTGATGTTGGATGGGATTAGATTATTTTGGAGATCATTTTTCATGCGCTTTCCAAGAATGAATTATTTTGGCTGGCTGTTTTGAATGGTTTCTTCTGCTTTCTGTTTTGAAAAATTTTACCGGCAGTTTCCGGAGGAATTTTATTTCGCTCAAATTTATCTGAATTTAAAAAGAATCTGCGTTTTGGTATTAACGTGAATTTAAATCAATAAAATCTTAACTATCAACTTTCAGCATCTACGCACATACGTACACACGTACCCTTTCTGTCAGTAGGGTCATCTCCAAGAAACACCACACTTGCGAATAAGAAATCTTTTCTTCTCTCCACATGCATTGGCCAGTACTTGATGGTTTTATATATAGTATTACGTAATTGTGAAGGTCTCTTCGCAAGAGAGCTCCGGCTCCTATATAAATGATAGTTCTGGGACCAAAGAACTCACAGCAAGCCAAAAATTAAGCAAGTATGACAATTCAAGGAGGAGGGTATCGGAATCTCTTCCTTCTAGTTCTTGTTCTACCATTAGTTTGTACTAACGGAGCTCGCAATTTACCTTTATCTATCATTAATGATGAGGATATCGGTTCTTTTAAAATTCTTGACGAAGATAGTTTGAACCGCCGCGATTTTCCTAATAATTTTATTTGGGGTACTGCCACTTCAGCTTTTCAGGTATCAACTAATAAAAAAATAAATAATTTTGAAGTTATTAATTCTATAATTTATTTTAGTTTTTGACATAATTTTAATTTGTTTAAAATTCTTAGATTTGTACATGTTTTTATTTAAAAATTTAAATACGTACAGCAAATAAATTCTAAGAAGTAACAATTTTATATAAAATGACAGAAAATTATATCATAGAATTATATTTGTACATATATGTGTACTTAACATAGGACTGTGTTTGATTATTGTATAATATTATATCAGTTTTTAATGTTCCATATTTAATTGTATTTTTTTAGATCGAAGGTGTGACGCATAGAGCATTTAACATATGGGATAGTTTTACTCACAGATATCCAGGTACATATTTTCACTTAAATATATAGTTTCTTAAGCAAAAATATATTGTAGAATCTTTTTTACTTTATATGTATATATATGAATAATTACGTGGATGTCTGTGTTGAAATTTTAGAAAAGTCAAGTGATGGAACCGATGCTGATCAAGCTACCGATTCATACCACCTTTATAAGGTATTGCTGATTAAAAAGAAATTTAATTAGTAGAATTTTTATGATTTTTCGTATTACTAATTTGTTTTCCCACCATAATAGATGGATGTTGAGATGATGAAAAACATGGGCGTGAACGGCTATAGATTCTCCATTGCTTGGTCTCGAGTATTGCCGAGTAAGATGATTTTGTCCCTTTATAATTGAAGGATGTATTTTTTATTGTTAGACAAACTATTTCAGTTATCTATACCATCTTTTTTAACATAATTTGTTTGTTTCAACAATTAATACCATTTTCAGAGGGGAGAATAAGTGGAGGAATAAATGAAGAAGGGATCCAATACTACAAGAACCTTATCAATGAGCTCTTAGATAACGGTTGTCATTTGAACTTTTTTTTTTTAATGATCAATTATATTTTACTTGTATAATTTGCGAGAATATTTTTTTGTTCTAATATTAATTACTTTAATAATATTACGAACAAATACAGGTATAGAACCATTCGTGACTATTTTTCACTGGGATGTTCCTCAAACTTTAGAAGACATGTACGGAGGACTTTTGGATCGTAACATTGTGTAAGTAATTTCAAAAACAGAGTTTTTTGTTTGCTGTGCAGTAAAAAAGGATCGTGTTGAAAAACAGAGTTTGACATTCTTAATTTGCTATGAAATAATTAATAAAATACTTTGAAATCTTGTACTAATTACTAGATGATCTTTTGTGGTATTAGGTCTGATTATCGGGATTTCGCAAATCTTTGCTTTAGAGAATTTGGTGATAAAGTAAAGTACTGGATAACAATTAATCAACCCTACAGCCTTGGGTTTAATGCTTATGGAAAAGGCGAACAAGCGCCTGGACGATGTTCTGCTTGGATGCACAAAAATTGCACAGGAGGAGATTCGGGAACCGAACCATATATCGTAGCCTACCATGAACTTCTTGCCCATGCAGAAGTTGTTCAGTTATATAGAAGAGAATATAAGGTTATAATTAACTGCTGAAAAAGTATATCGCACTTTTAAAAATTCATATAGTTTTTATATCTCTTAAAAGTATTTATTTATTTTGGAGTAAAATTTTATTTTTGTTATGACATCCTTCGTATAGCTTATTTATTTTTTTAAAAGAAAAATAATAATATTGCAGGAAACTCAGAAAGGCAAGATAGGTATTACATTAGTAGCTAATTGGTATTATCCATTGAGAAATACAATTGATGATATCAATGCTGCTCAAAGAGCTCAAGATTTCAAGCTCGGATGGTAAGTAATCGAGCTTATTTTCGACTTCTATTAACATGCTTCCAAAAGGAATGAGGCCATGGCATGATCAACAGAAATAATTAACATGAATAATATTAAATTAAGGACAAAATCATGGCTAGAAAATAAATTAAACTTACATATATATTTGATATAACGTATCACAAGATGGATATAAAACCTAGTTTTCTCTCACTATATTTTTGTAGGTTTTTGGATCCAATA